GGAGTAAATGTTTGAACGGTATCTTATAAAGTTTAAATTTTATTTGAGATTTTGAAAAACTTTTTAAAGTTTTTTGCGAAAAAAAGGACAACAAGAAATTGTTTTAATATTTTAGCTCGAACTGCCGAGTAGGCTTGTTCGACTTCGATCACAAACAGCACGAGAACGGCGTTCAAAAAGTCAACCAATTCATTCACCGATTCATATTGACAGTGATGAGGAATATGGTATGATAATTATTAAATATTGTCAGCCTACCCTTTATCCTTTATTTTTTTCCTGTTTTTGTTACTACCGATTCTGCTGCTATGAAGCAACTGTAGTTAACTGTTGCAAGGGATTAACCACTGATATGGTATTTAGAAGGACCAGCAGAGCATATTTCACGACTGGATGCTTTGGCTTTCTACAATGCATCCAGCGAATCTGAGGGATCATCTTCAAAAGCCAGAAGTTATCGAAGTTCAGTGCATAGCACAACATCTTCGATGACTTCTTCAAGTACAGTCTCAAGCAGCGAAGAACAGGTGGCAAAAAAAAGAATTTTTTTTTGCCATGAATTAAAAAAACAGACGAAAGAGAAGAACAAAACAAAAAGCGTTTTAATTTACGCAATTTTTGCTCGAAATATCTGAGATCACAATAGGTTTTTTGAAATGATAGTTAAACGGTTTCAGCAATTTTCTTTTAATGCTCAGTTATAGAAACTAAGTCATTTTTTGTTTGCTATTAAAGCTGTTAGTTAAAGTGCTCTAATTACATACGAATTTGAAAATTTGGTTGTTCGGATTTTAAGTGTTAATCAACTATTTGATCTTTTGAAGGGTGTCTTAACCGCTGAAGCAGCTTGGGATCATGTTGCCATTCTTCCAGACGAACTACCGTTCGCTGCTGGTGATATAATCAATGTGATCGATTGCACATCGCATTCTGATCTGTGGTTTGGTAGTTGTAGAGACAGAACAGGATGGTTTTCTTCATCTCACGTTCGGGTAACCAGACAGGCTTTTAGTTCTAATTAAATTTTATACACTGAAATAGAATGCTTCTAGGACAACCAAATTTGTTTTTTCTCACAATTCTAGCTACTTTTTCTCTTGGTTTTCCCTCAAAAATAGGAACGAAAAAAGTAAAACACATAAATAAATTGTGAGTAGTTGTCTTTGAAACAATTTTATGTGAAAAGTTTTATATTCAATTTTTTCCTCCTGTCTACAGATACTGGAAAGAAATGTACCAAATCGAAGCTGTTTTGTTGGTGACTTCCCACAGCCTCTACGACATTTACGAACAAAAATCATTCAAGAGTTGATGTCCACAGAACGTGACTATGTTGCGCTTCTACAAAACTTAGTTCAAGTATCACTTTTAGTTCAACTCATCAAAGAAGAAAAAACAATGATGAAAAGGCTGTAATTTAAGCAGAAGAAAGTTTGATGGAAGACAAGCAAAAAGAAAATAAGAATAAACCTGCTTTAGCTGTCGTCTACATCTTTTAATACGTATGACAAGAGAAAGAGGGAAGAAGAAAAAAAACAAAGCACAGGAAAAGACAATTCTTTTCAACAATTTTTTTTTTTTGAAGGGTTTTTTGGAGCAAACTCGTCGCCGTTCAGAAATGTTTCCAGCATCACGCATACAGCGAATATTTGGAAATTTGGAAGCAATTTGTGCACTGCACTGTAAATTTCTTCGAGAACTTGAACTAACGTTTGATTCTAAGATGCCAGAGAATTCGTGTATTGGAAATGTTTTCCTCAGAAATGTATGTTATAATAATACTGAAGTATAATCGTTAAAATTCCAAAGCACATGCAAACACGCAGACAAACATGGATAACTGGAGGATGCTTCCTGATTTTTTTACGCAATATATGGTCACTGGAAAAAAGGAAATTTATGAATAGCAGAAAGGATATTATTAAAAGGAAGAAAGAAAAAAAAGAGAAGGATCAACTTAGGAGAATAATATTTATCTTTTTTTAACAAAATTTTTTGTGTTACTTTTTTGTTGTTGTCGTCATTGTTATTGCTGTGCATCAAAAGGAAAAAAATTTTGTCTTAAACAAATCAAGAAAAAAAACATGCTTTTTCAGTAACGGAGACTAATAAACAGCAATAGATAAAAGGTCATAAAAAAATGTTAAAGAAAAAGGTTCAATTTTTTTTTTCTGCTGTTTAAAAGTGTTAACTGTGTTATTGGATCGGTTATCTTTGTACTGTGCTCTTTTAGCGTTCGAATTTTTCCATCTATTCCGAATACTGTAATAATCGACCGGTTTCATGTGCTGAACTTGCAATTCTGGATGAACAGCCACATTACCATCAATTTTTTGAGGTTTTTTTTGTGTACAGACAATTCTTGCTTTAAAAAAATTGATGTCTGTGTTTTTGTCTCTGAAAGCAGTGTTTTTTTATCAGAGATTCATTAATTCTTTATGGTTATAGACGGATCCACCAACTTCTTGTTTACCAAAATTAGCTTTCTTTTTTTTCTCAGGCATGCCGTTTGCTCAGAGGAATGCCCAAATTAACGTTAGAAGGTTTTTTGCTGACACCGGTTCAACGAATCTGCAGATATCCATTACAGTTAGCTGAACTACTGAAAGCTACACCGTCATCGCATAGTGATCGAGAACCTGTACAGGTTTGAATTTCGAATTCTTAAAAAAGTGAATAAAGAAAAAGAAGAGTAACAGTGACAAAAACCATAGGGTACAGAAGAAAACAATATGCATGAATAGTAGTCCTTTGCTGTTTTGTTTTACTATCACTTACGGTTAGTTGTGCTGTTCAAAGTAACTTCAGTATTTTTCGTTCTTTGTTTTCTAATCTGTTTAAATATTATGTACGCAGGAGAAAAAAGATTTCTTCTGTTTTTTTGATTTTCTTTTTATTTGGTGATATCTGTTTAGTTGAAATGTAGAAAGGAGCAAAAAAAAAGATGAAAAAAAGATGAATGAATAATTTAAGGCTGCAGCATGTGCCATGAAGAATGTCGCTGCATTGATCAACGAAAAAAAACGACGATTAGAAGGCCTTCAGAAAATTGCTTTATGGCAAAGAAATGTTGAAGGATGGAGGGTAAACTTTCTTTTTCTTCTTTTTCAATCTTCTTTTGTTTTTTGACCGCTAACACGAAAAATGGATAGGAAAAGAAAGAAAATGAATGGAAAGAAGCGGAAAACACTGCTTTTTTGTTAGTAAAGAGAAAAAAATTTGTGGGTGTAAAAAAAATGATGGCAAATACACATAACTGAACATTAATAAAACGTTTTTTTTTTTTGTTTTTTTGTTTTATTAGAATCGGTAAAGGAGGTATTGGTTTTTTTTCGCGTGGTTTGATTTGAGTTGTTACCAGAAAAAAAAAAAAACCAAACCTTGTTATTCTTTAATCTTTTTAAGCCATTGCTGTTGCTGTTACATTTACCAACTTTATCATCACTCTTCCCATCTTTCCACTTTTTTTCGCTGAGTTCTTTCAATATAACATTTTTTTGTTCTCAAACTGCTTTTGAACACTTTAAAAGAAAAGAATGAAAAACTAAATTGTTTTTTCGTTATCCCCGTTTTCCTTCTTTTCTATTGCTTTATTTTCAGTATATCCCCGCTTCCCTTTCCCGGCTTCCCTCGACACCACCAATCTTTCCTCCCACAAACATGCATCAATATTTTTTTTTTTTTTTTTTGCCACTAACCTCTTTTTTTTAGCTAACTTGTTTCTTTTTTATTTTTACATCTGTCTTTAATGTTTTTGGAGAATGTTAAAGCAGAAAAAAAAATAATCCAAAAACAGAATTGTTTATGTATCCAAAAACATTGGTTTATGATCCTTTTTTTTTTTCATCATACAGCTGCTGCTGCCGTTGCTGATGCAAAAAAATAAGAACAATCCTTAATTGCACGTTTCTCTTTTTTTTTTTTTCGCTTTACTTTGTTTTGTTTCACCGAATTTTGATAGTTTTTCTAAAACCGGAAGAAAACTTTTTTTTTTTTGCACATTCAATTGAGGGAATTCAGAAAAAAAAAAAAGAGAAAAAAAACTGACAATTTAGTAAGCGGTAGTTAAGTGCTGCATTTGGGGGAAAGATGGAAGGCCGAAGTGGAGGGAATTGACGGATAGCAAAAGCAAAACTACAAAAAGCATCACTGCTAACTATTTTCTTTGCATTTTATTAATTAACATCAACTTAGATAATCTAAAGGTTTTGTCTGCTTAATCACTGTAAAGTATCTGCAACGATATAAGTCTGTAGGAGAGTGGGGGAAAGAAAAGAAAAACAAAGAATTGATTAGTTTGCTTCAGTCATTTTTTGCTTTTGTCAGATAATGAATTATTACGATTGTAAATAAAAGTTTGGGCTTTAAAAAAAAAAAA